AGACAGCATATTGGGAACAGACTTCTATACAACGTGATATTTGAGTAATTGACAGTGAGGAAGACAGCATATTGGGAACAGACTTCTATAAGCCGTGATATTTGGGTAATTGACAGTGAGGAAGATAGCATATTGGGAACAGATTTCTTTACAACGTGATATTTGGATAATTGACAGTGAGGAAGACAACATATTGGGAACAGACTTCATGCGGAAACACAGATGTGATATTATACTAGCTGAATACACTTTCATATTCTCTGACCAGAAAATCTTATGCACAACATAACAATTATACTACCAGGATAGAAGCACAAGATAATGAAGCCAGAAAATCTTATGATCCAAGCCTGTGATCGTTTTTGGAGGTATTCACTTATGATAAAAGAAATCAACCTACATTGATCAGAACTAAAAATGAACCTGTTAATGTGTATTTCCAATGATATACACTACTTTTTTATTTTTACTTATAATACATAGAATGTGTTATCTTTTGGATGCTTTAGCTGTTAGTGGTATTTTTGACTATAATACCAATAATTTCTCACGAAATTCGGCTATCTTAAAAGACTTAGGTTAGTCCTAAATCCGCGTATTTACCTTGAAATTTTGACATAATCCTAACTAACAAACTATTGATCACTGAAAATCCATCAAACAGCTCTGTAAGTATAACTAGAGTAGTCTGACATGAAGTATTATTACACGTTACTAGTTAGCTAGTCGGGTAGCAGGACATCACAGATAGTTTGGCAAAAACTAACGTTTATGAAGATTAAAAAAAATGATAAATTATAAGTTAAATGACTAGCAGAATCGTATAATAAATAGCAAGGATATTGAAACTGTAATTAAAATATAACCAAGTTAAATGTTATAAAAATCATATGCTGAACAAAAGACTGACCTCGCCTGGGTCACAAGTTATGACATAATTTGCGTATACGTGTTAATACACTCTAACTAGACATTTCTCACAGAAATTGAATGTTATTTGATCTAGAAATATTTTTCTTCAGGTTGTGTGTTTAGGAGCTTGATGCTTTATACTTGAATTTAAGTATACTTCTTTTTTTTGCAGTGTTTGAGTTTAGTTAGACTCTTGATAAACGTTATCAGTTCGAGATTTTTAAGAGTTTCCACTAGGTTCAATGTTAACAGAATTTTAAACACCTCTCAGCAGAGAAGAGTGTCTTACTCAAAATTCTGATCCTGTCATCATTTGCCAGTATTTATTTGCCTAATGCTTTAACATAAGAGTGAGATGGGTTCCAAGAAAAATTAAGTTCAAATTTTCAGTTTCTGTAACTCGTTGCACTGAATACAATATGTGACTTTCAAGTTTGAAAGTGAACTTCATTGAAAAACAAAGACTCGTATCTATTGTTTGCTACTTTTAATTGTGAAACACAAGTACACTGGATGTGTATGCATTTCTGTAATAGTCCATACACCACTGTCACATCCATGTGACTGAATCATGATTTTCACCCATTTGTACAAACAAACGCTTCTAATACAGTAATAACTACACACATACTAGGAAACAGACATTGTTGGATAATAATAATAATAAATTACTTCTTTGTGTTCACTAATTTGAAATGACTAGGCTTACAGTGCTGCCACCTTAAAAATAACAAAGTTTCAAGGATGTAAAGAAAAGTATAAAATAAATCATTTACACATGTTCATCATGCATCCAACTACAATCTGTTACTGTTAGAACTTTCTTTAGGAAAATGGAGTAACGCCAAAGTCCTCAACCCATTCCTATATAAACCTACAATAACTCTTTCTTCATAATGCATCATGTCACGTTTGAGATAAGTCTCAAATAAACATTTTGAGAAATTATTTGGGCAAAATATTAACAAAAAAATAAAATAAAAAGTGGCAGCACTGTTGGATAACATGAAACAACGCTATGACTAGATCAAAGTATACAGATGTAATACATAATTACCATTTTGAATTAACCAAATAGCAAACACTGGAAATATTCATTCTTTTCATCATGTTGAATTAAGGTGCTTCCGACTTGGCACTAACTACACTTGATAATACAGTTATAATATTGTACCAAAAAGCAGAATATATTTAACAGCAAAAAACCATTTTCCAAATTTCTCTCTCTTATGATGTAAAATATGTTCTCTCAGCTTAACAATTCTACTGGAGTTTCCTCGAAACCTGTCTTTACAATGATTAACAGTTTTCTAAAATACATCAGGTTATATTTTCTACACGTACAAAGAAATATACAGCAAAATAGAGATTCAAGAACACACCTGTAACATTTACAAAACAAAACAGTTGGAAAGTGTTTCCACTTATAATTGTGACTTGTGTAAACTCCCCAATGTGTTTGATGACTTAGAACAAAAGTCGGTGAAGAACCATGTACAGCTTCTCCAAAAACTATAACCTTTACACATGAAAATATATATGGATTATGGCTTTTCATTTCATAATAAAAACCTATTTAATTGTTTTTTATTAACTTAACAGCTATTTAAGCTTTGCTAGAATATTATTAATAAAAGTTTTTCCTTTTATACTGGTAAACTGAGGCTGTTTATTTTCTTATAACTCAAATTACTTGTTTCTGGAGTTGAAGAAAGACTCACATATATAAGATTGGAACTATTTTTTAAACTAATATCACTAAAAAAATAACATGCATCTGTGCAAACATTCAAGGAAATACAATGCTTGGTGCACGTGGGATTACAACTGCCAGATTAGGGGTTTTAGTTAAAGTAATTAATTTTACTGTATATAACCAATCACATTAAAGAGAGATGTACTGACCTTTGTCAGGATACTGTTCTATCATTTTCTTTGAATTTTTTATTTAAATAGGTCTATATTGCACAAAAAAGGTTTTAGTGAAATATATTTTAGTAACTTATAAATAGGTATATAACCTAGAAGTAGGATTGTTCAATTAAGGAAACACTACAAATAATTCCATGGTATATTTAGATTGTTGCCTTGAAATGACAGCATTCAACTACAGAATTGTAGTATTTGTGGGCATTAAGCACTGAAGATAGATTTGTTACCTGTACGTTACAATGTGCAATAGTCAACATCATGATGATACAGAACAAAAGCTTTCATTACTCTTCTTAACTAATATTTTAAAAAAAAGATTATTGTAAAAACAAGCTTTTCAACTTCACTTGAATGTAGTTCTATACAGTTTATAAACTACAGTTAGGATACATTTTTAATCCTTTTATCTACCCAGTAATCATATGGAAATAATCATTGTACAATACAAAATCTTATCTTTTCTTGATAACTTATTGTATACTAAGAACAGTTCATAAGAATTCTTCCTACAATGACACGAATAAGGACAGCTTCTCAGGGATTAGACACGTCTGTTACACAAACCTCAGAAATGTTCTTATACTGTAGTTGATCATACAAACAGCTCAGGGGTATTTATTAGTGATACAAAGTAGCAGATCATACAAACAGCTCAGGGGTATTTATTAGTGATACAAAGTAGCAGATCATACAAACAGCTCAGGGGTATTTATTAGTGATACAAAGTAGCAGAGAAAGTTAAATGTTCTTATACTGTAGCTGATCATACAAACAGCTCAGGGGTATTTATTAGTGATACAAAATAGCAGAGAAAGTTAAAAATCAGTTCTTGTCCCACAAACTTGCACCCAGTTTAGAAGCATAAATGACAAAATGGAAATGAGACAGTTTAATAACAAAGATTTCAAAACATGGGTTAGTTTGTGTGTAAAAACACACAAATTAATAGGATAAAACCATTCAGGATCTTTAGAACAAAGATAAAAAAATCACAGGTTACAATAAAATGTAAAAAAAACAACAACAACTATAAACAATTTTGTAAAGGATTTCTCTTTGAAAAACAGAATAATAAAAAATTCAAGCTTGTTTCCCATGTCTTTGTGCTTGTTAATGGAATGTTTATATTCAATAAACAGAGAAGAAAGAAATTTTCTACACTCCTCTGATTTATATAATGAAAGCTAAATAATTGGATAACTTTGTCCAGACTCTGAAACTATAACAACCACATTAAAGTAACAAATGTACCTTAACTGAATGTATTAATCTACAAATGTGTAACTTAATCTGTGTAACTAAACTCTTTAAACATTTCAAAAGAATTGACAATTTGTACCCTGTATTTCCATTTCTTTTGAGATTCTCAGTATGTACATCAAAGAAAGTAATAATTATTCACCTTATCAAGCTGCAGCTTGCTTTAGCTAGAATATATAAATTACTAAGAACATACAGTGATAAAATATGACTGTTGGTGATTTTTAAGAAAGTACTTACAGAATAATGTTTAGGAACACATTGTTACTGATGTTTAAATTTACCTAGAAACAAGCACAAGAATGTAACGAACGGTGCTTCTTACAAAAAATTAACAGGTCAGTGTTATATCTTCATCTGAATTACATTTAAGCACAAGCATAGATACAGTAGACACCTGGGAGTTAAATATAATTGTATAAATAAACAGCAATCCACTACATAATAAATTTTTTTTGGTTTAGGTGCAAATTTCAATATTTCAAGGAAAAAATATGTGTATAATAGACACAACTAAACTACAAAATTCACATTGATGTTCCCATAACCATAAACCACACTAACTCCTAATGTTTACCATAACCATAAACCACACTAACTACTAGTGTTTACCATAGCTGTAAGCCACACAAACTCCTGGTGTTTACCATAACCGTAAACCACACTAACTCCTAGTGTTTGCCATAACCATACAACACACAAATTCCTAGTGTTTGCCATAGCTGTAAACCACACTAACTCCTGGTGTTTGCCATAGCTGTAAACCAAACTAACTCCAATGTTTGCCATAACTGTAAAGGTAAACAATAGGAGATAGTGTGTTTTACAGCTATGGTAAACACCAGGAGTTAGTATGGTTTACAGTTATAGTAAAACCAGGAGTTAGTGTGCATAGCTGTAAACCATACTAACTTTTGGTGTTTACCATAGCTGTAAACCACACTAACTCCTAGTGTTTACCATAGCTGTAAACCATACTAACTCCTATTGTTTACCATAACTATAAATGACATTAACTCCTAGTGTTTACCATAACTATAACTCACATTAACTCCTAGTGTTTACCATAGCTGTAAACCACACTAACTCTTGGTGTTTACCATAGCTGTAAACCACACTAACTCCTGGTTTTTACTATAGCTGTAAACCACACTACAGGTACAAGATGTTTGATAAATTTAAATGGAATTCGTGTCTTTTAAATCCATGTTTGGCAATATAATACTATAAATCAAACACACTAAAATTGAGGAAACAAAGACATTTCATAAATATTTCATTCACTACTACCATGATTTCATGTGTAAATGCATCGTCAGGTGCAATCACAACAGTAGTAAATGAAATAACTGTGAAATGTACAAGTGTTTTTGTTTTTCTCAATTCAGTAAATAAGGGGTTCCATCAAGTACCAACAGTTTCAAGTATTAATTACATACATCAAACACTGTGTTTACAAAGTTTCTGTAAATAGTTAAAATCAGCTTCAGCTGATGGTTTACCAAAATACAAACAATTATTTTTGTACATTAAACCAATTATATGTAATAAATCTTTAAACAAACTTTAATAAAATACACAAGATATTTTTTTCAGGTGAAAATCCAATCTCCAAGAGAAAAAAAAAATTTGAAAAATAATTAACACTATTGGTATACAAATTGCAAAAGGTTTTTAACTTAAATATACTGAAAAACTGATTTAAAAAATAAATAAATGTCAGAACACACTCTGAGATAAAGTTTTTAAGCTACCTAATCCATGTATAAAATACAATTATCAGTTGATTGGCTGATTTTATAACCATTACACACAGAAACAATTAACTATTTTAAATTCACTTATATAATTTGACGTATTAAATGGAATTGGGCATAAACTCCATAAGTTGAAATGTACTACACAGACATCATTTTTCAAGTTTTACTTTAACGTTAGAGAAGATTAACATCTCACTTTCTCTAAAAATAGCAAGAATAAATATTGTCAGAGAAAAATACTCATGCAAACTATGAAATATTGTTAAATTAGAGCTCAAAAGTAATATACGAGTTTTTCTAAACCTTTCAACCAGCCAAATTCTTAACCATATGTACTGTAAGAGCTTTAACAAACAATTCCTAAAAGAAAAATAACATGTAATGCCAATGAAAAGTTGGTGAGCCAAATTTTCTACCACATTTCTTAATTCTAAATAAATTTTATTTTCTCAATTACTCCCCCCCTTTTTTGAAGTAAACCCCACATGTTAAGTAATTTATTAGGATGATATACACACAAAGCTCCAGGAAACACAGAGTTGTTAGCAGTAAACACAAACTTAGCACTGGCACCCGCCGTTTGAAGGAGCGGGGTTCTCCGTCAGCCTGGTGCCTTTGGAAGCACCAACAAGATTAGGATCAGAGTCCAAACTTTCTGACATCTTGTCACAAATAATATCTACCAGACATTCAAACACAGCTTTAACGTTGACGTTTTCCTTAGCCGAAGTTTCAAAGAACTCGAGACCAATTTGATCGGCTAACTGCTTCCCTCGTTCTGTTGAAACAACACGTTCATCTTCCATGTCACATTTATTCCCAACCAATATTACCTGTGCATTGTCCCACGAATAAGTCTTAATTTGGGTTACCCTGTGAAAATAAAACAAAGATAAAACTATCAAATCTGAACTCAACTGATATACAGTACGTCATTCATGCCATCTATTTCACACAATATATAAACACACAATAAAGTCACATGAAACAATGTATAAACACACAATAAAGTCACATAACACAATGTATAAACACACAATAAAGTCACATCACACAATGTATAAACACACAATAAAGTCACATGAAACAATGTATAAACACACAATAAAGTCACATAACACAATGTATAAACACACAATAAAGTCACATGAAACAATGTATTAACACACAATAAAGTCACATGACACAATGTATAAACACACAATAAAGTCACATGACACAATGTATAAACACACAATAAAGTCACATCACACAATGTATAAACACACAATAAAGTCACATGACACAATGTATAAACACACAATAAAGTCACATGACACAATGTATAAACACACAATAAAGTCACATGACACAATGTATAAACACACAATAGTCACATGACACAATGTATAAACACACAATAAAGTCACATAACACAATGTATAAACACACAATAAAGTCACATAACACAATGTATAAACACACAATAAAGTCACATGACACAATGTATTAACACACAATAAAGTCACATGACACAATGTATTAACACACAATAAAGTCACATGACACAATGTATTAACACACAATAAAGTCACATGACACAATGTATAAACATACAATAAAGTCACATGACACAATGTATAAACACATAACAATACAAACACATAAAGATATAAACACACAATAAAGTCACATGACACAATGTATAAACACAATAATGTCACATAACACAATATATAAACACAGTCACAACAATACAAACACATAATAAATTCACATAACGATATATAAACACAATAGTCACATAACACAATACATAAACACATAACAAAGTAACACAACACACAATAAAGTCACATAACGTGATATATAAACACATAATAAAGTCACACAACACTCCTTATTCCAGTGTACAAACACATAATAAAGTAATATAACACAAAATATAAACACATAATAAAGTCACACAACACTCCTTATTCCAGTGTACAAACACAGAATGATAACATCTAAGTGTCAATAAGTACCAAGAATTACTTTAAGTTAATTGTGCTTAAGAATATATTACTATCATCATAGTGTTATCATAGGACAAACAAAATATAAATTAGCTCAAAATTTTCACCAGAACATTTCTTGAAACTGTGTATGAATATAACTTCTGATAGTGAAACACTAGTACTTAACATAAAATTAATTTTTCCAATCATCATAACCTAAAAATATACACCTCATTCTCCTGTCTTGAATACATGATGTTGGACATCTATTTGTAACCATAAAGATTTATGTAATTCACTCCAGACTATGCTACTGATTGTAAAGACTTAGTTCCTTCCAGACTATGTTACTGTAAAGATTTGTGTTGTTCCTATCAGACTATGTTACTCTAAAGACATAGTTCACTCCAGAATGTGTTACTGTGAAGACTTGTGTGGTTCCTTCCAGAGTATGTTACTGTAAAGACGTAGTTCACTCCAGAATGTGTTACTGTGAAGACTTGTGTGGTTCCTTCCAGAGTATGTTACTGTAAAGACGTAGTTCACTCCAGAATGTGTTACTGTGAAGACTTGTGTGGTTCCTTCCAGACTATGTTACTGTAAAGATTTGTGTTGTTCCTATCAGACTATGTTACTCTAAAGACATAGTTCACTCCAGAATGTGTTACTGTGAAGACTTGTGTGGTTCCTTCCAGAGTATGTTACTGTAAAGACGTAGTTCACTCC